CAGACTTTTAATTTGAGAACCTAGCATAGTGTCAGTTAAATCTCCTCTGCTGATTTAATTAGCAAGAACTCAATGTTAATTATTTTGCATTTAAACCTTAGAAGCCTCACAGATGAAAAAATATATAATCCTTTTTGAAAATGAAATAATAAAAACCCAGTAATAAAATCAGTTTGTATGGTTTTTAAGGGTGTGTAAATGTGTTAGACAGCTAATGAATTATTCAACACTGTACATGCTTGGAAGATGTACAGATTTTAATGAGCCTCCCTAATTCTACTTTCATACTATCTTACATTATTTTATTCCAAGTTGTTTTTATTGGATAGTGTTCATTAGAAGAAATATTCATCAATTTACCATATCTTGAAAATGAGGAAAGATAAAATATTTATTTGTCACAAATTCTTATCAATTAACTAATTAATTTTACTGCTCTATATAAGGTAAGCAAAACATAAGTAGAAATCTCATTTTTATTATGTTTTTACCCCAAAGCTATATGTCAAACAATTACATAAAGTCCAATTTTAAATATGTGTCAACATTCTAAACTGTTTTGTTATGCCTCACTTTTGAACTCCTGGCTCAGACAAAGCTCAGTAAGAGAGACTGCTAGATATACAAAACCTTGCTTCATCATAATTTTTTCAGAGGGACAGAAAATATCTCTTATTCCTTTCACTGGCAAAATGACACTGGGATGTATTGGGATGGTTCTAAACATTTAATGCTAAGAAGAAATGTGTTGGGTTTTTGTTTTGGCTTTTGTTTGTTTCTAAATTTTGAGTGGAGAAAAACTAAAGTTCAAAATAATTGTGTTTGAGTGCGCAAAGAGCTGTCATGACTCAGAGGATAGAGGACCTAATCTCTCATCAAAGGATCTAGAAATCAGTGCACCAAGGGGTTAACAATGGATGTCTCCAGATAGGAAGAGTTTGGAGGGTTTCCTTGCTTTCTTCTTTCTTTGTACATATATATATATATATATATATATATATATATATATATATGTTTTTCCTCCAATAAATATGTTTTGTCTTTTGGAATATTACAGTGAGATTTTTTTTAAAGGTGTAGAGAATTTTAGAGCTAAAGGGTCAAGGAAGAGTAGGTGAGTATCTAAGAAGTGTTATCTCAGATTGCAAAATCTCCACGTCTTTCAACCTCAAACCTATATTAGTGGTTACATGTCTGTGTCGGTTGCTATTTCTAAGCTGACTATTAAAAGGTCAACTGGTACCAGTTACTGTTGGTCTATACTGGTGTAGAACATGGATCTATGGGGAATCAGGTACTGAAAATTAGGAGCAGGAACTCAGAGAAGTCTTCAAGAAAGAAGATAGATCTAGGAGGGAAAGGATGGCCTAACATGGGAAGTAAGCAAATGCCAAACTTTGTGCACTTAGTTTGGCTAGATTCAAAAGAATTTCCTGCTCATTTCCAAAGAAAGTCAAGTGTACTTAACGTTAATCCATGCTATTATACTTCAATTTATTTTATTTTAATTTTGGAATTCGGCTTCTTGCAGTAGTTTGGGATTCCTACGGGGAACACAAGCTCACTTTGCATAGCCGGACGAATTACTGTAAAGGGGTCAAGCGCATGGGCTCTGGAGCATGACCTTGGGAAAGTGATTTAATTTCCCCAGAATGTTTTTTTTAATCCAAGTGGACTTGTGTTTTGTAACTATTAAACCACAGATTGCATAGAAGTGGTAAGAGATTCACTAATAATACTTAAAAACACCCACACTGTGATTTATTGAAAGTTAGTCCTCAACACAAGGGTTTGCCGAACTGCAGAAGGAGCCGAGATGCCCTTCAACAGATGAATGGATAAAATGATGTGGTCCATATATACAATGGAATATTACTCAGCTATCAGAAAGGATGAATACCCACCATTTGCATCGACATGGATGGAACTGGACAGGGTTATGCTAAGTGAAGTAAGTCAAGCAGAGAAGGACAATTATCATATAATAAGAGATTCTGTCTCATGTTGTTTTTGTCTTTTACTCTAAGACTTTGGGAAATGACTTAACCTTACCACGTCAGGGCCTCATTCCTCAGATGAGGAACAAGATAACATATACCTCATATTATAAATACACACACACACACACAATATTATTTCTATAGAAAACTTAGAATGACAGATTTTACATAGAAGGTACTGTGTACTAGTGTTGCCAAGATCATTGTCCAGGATCGCTATGACTCATTCTTAAATATTAAACTTCATTCCTTTGCCAATGCACTATTATGAGAATATGAATCTTTATTTCACTCTTTTAGTTTCTTTCAGTTTTACTCTGTTGGCATTTGATCTAACTGAACCTACTCCTACTCCCACCCTCACCCTCATTTCCCACATGGTCTTGCCTTTATTCCTGCCCCCACCACTGACCACCACAGTCCCCTGGTTGAAATTTTGGTGTGCCATTCAGAGGTCCTCTGGTACGTGAGATATTTATAAGTTGCTCCTTATATTTAATCCCCAAACCTTGTGCTGAAATTGACATTCATTTATTATTGTTCACCTGGAAAGAAAAGCATTAGCCTCTATCCATTCTCTAATTATACCTTTGATATATTGCTCTCCAGGTGGTTAAGGATGAATAAATGCCTTTACTTCTCTTGATCAAGCAGAGAGCCCTCAGTAACCTGAATGATACCGCAGTAGTGGTTTCTTCACAGCTGTTTAGGTTTCTTAATTAAAGTTATTAAGCTCAAACTACCTCCATATTAGGAAATTAATTGTGCTCTAATTTTTTAAGCTCCTTGATAAATGGCCAGTGAAAATAAAAGAATCCTTAGCATGTAGCCTGTATCACCTGGCCATACTATACATTTAATAAATATTTATTGTTATATATCATAGGAAAATGATCTGTAGAATGAAATGAAACTGTAGAATGCAAAAGATACTGATTTGAAAAAGACCTAGATGAAGTGGTTTAGACACATGAAGTGGTTTATTTCGAAGCTTCTGTTTGTTTTATAGGCACAGTTATAGGTCTGAAAAAAAAATGGTAACAGCTGGTCTTTTCCCTTATGGAACTCACTGTTTAGTTTCATCAGATGTTCTAAAATGCACAACACACACACACACACACACACATACATATCTACATCAGTAACACTAACAACACAACGCTACCTCAAAACATCCTGACAAGGGTATGAAGCATGTTGCACGTAGAAAATATGGGAAGCAAGGGCCACTATTTAATAATTTACTTCCCTTGAGCACTAACCAAGGACAAAGACCAATCTTTTATGAATGTTATACTATATACTTTCTTCCATATATCTTGAGTTCATCTGGATTCTTATAAAATAAATGATTCAATTTCCATAAAAATTTTCAAAGAGCTATGAATGTAATAAAGCATTTCCTTTTGGACATATTTGATTATTTTTTGGATAAAAGGAACTCCAGATCTTGCAGTTCTTTGAGAAAACATAAACAAAGACCAAAAAAAAAAAAAACCCAACATAAGTTTTATTGAAATTACACCAATTTTTTTGAAGCATGTTTTTTAGAACAATTGTCTCATAAGATATTCTAGGGAAAGGAATTTCTTCATTAAATATGTTTCAGAAACACTACATCCTATGTCTCTATCTTGATGCCTGAGAGTGAATTTAGACATATTGAAGTATCTGAGAAGATTTTCAATTAAGAAACATGTATAAATGGATTGGCCAAATCATTTTCAAACTTATTGGATCACAGAATTCCCTCTATTTCCCTCTTCCTATTTGTAGCTTGAGTTACACTGGTGTTTTGAGAATCATCTTGCTTTAGGCTGAATGTGTATCAATTCTGAGGCTCAAATACTGAGAATATGCATTTTGTCTTTTCATATTACCCAGAGAGAATTCTACAGTGAGCATTAGATTCTTGGATGATCTTTGCTTGTATTTGAATGCCGATAAGCTGGCTTCTACATTAAACATTAAGAAATCTCTTTTATTATTGTCATTCTTATTATTAAGCATTATTATTTTCATTTAATCATGCCCCTCTATGTGAAGAGTGCTGCCACTCAGATACCCTCCCTGTGTAGTCTGAATGCTCAAACATTGCTAGGGGAGGGTAAACATGGGTAAAAAAGTGAAAAACAGGGAAAGCACACAAGGAGACTCTTTTCTTCCTTCAGATTGTCTATTCACTTCTCTTATATGCCTTGAAAGACTGTATGAGCACCACAGTGAATGCTGTCTTTAATAAAACAAAAACAGTTTCAAACAATCCGTACATTTAGTGAAGCTGTGTTTAACTGGACTTGTCCAAATGCTGCCAGCTAGAATCCAAGACCAAGGCTTACTTCTGAATCAATAGCCTGTGCCAGACCCAAATTAAATGTTACTGCTGTCAGCTTCTTGGGTCCTCATTTTAAGCTTCACTGTGTCACTTAAACCAACAGGAATGATTTCTCTAGCTTACTTTTTTTTTAAAAAAAAAAAAAACATCTTATTTCTGCACTTCATAATATCGTAGTCACCATTCTCTTTCTTATTTAAATAATATATATGATGCTCCTCTTTAATTGTGAAATAATGAACAAACTTCTGACCTGTTGTATTCCTCAGTCTCTGTTGAAAAGAACCTTCTCAAGGGTCATTGAGAAGACCTTTTTGGATAGCATATTAAATGGCCAAATAAAAATAAGAGGAGAAAAAATTGCTAAGGTGACTCCTGTTGTTTTGACTGTTATATGGACCTCTATCATTCCATTTTACTCCCCTATCACAAAAGCAAGGTAAAACTTTGACATTTGATCCTAGAATAATGTTACTAAAGTTAAATATTAGATACTTCTAAAGGCTTATGAGTAAATTTCAATGGCTGAAGACAAAAGTATAGCCAATTTATGATAACTATGATAAGAAGAAAAAAATTAGTAACACAAAAGATTCAAAATGTGAGTTCTTTTTTGATTTTCCTCATAAACAATTCTAATCTCTCCCTTCATTTTTCCCCACCAGGAATACTTCTGCTGTCAGTTAGACTATAAAAGAAGAGAAAAAGCTTTGTTCTAATGGTAACAACAAGAAAAATAGACAAAAAGTATAAGAATCATATTTTTCTATGAAGTAGAGAAGAGTGGAGGATTGAAAGAAGCTAAATGAACTGAATTTTATAGAGAAACAAACCCTTCAGAGAAGAGGAGAGAGCAGTAGCTACTTCTTTCTGAGGGTCATTGCCAGGTTTGGATTCAGAGTACCATGGGAGGAGTGAGGATGCCGAGAGCTAGTTGAAATGGACTGTAGATTGGAGGAACCCCAGCTCAGCCAAGTAATTGTGCCTCTCTCCCCACCCCACCCTTGAGAAAAAACAGTGGATAAAGACCTGGTAAGTAAAGAGAAGTCACCCAGTCTTGGCCATTCTCTAAATGACTGGATTCCAGAACTTTGTGGAATTGAAACCAGTAACAAAGCAAGCCTATCTGAAAATGCAGCCAAGTCTTCCAGCTCAAGTATGGACACCACTGAAAGCTAGCAGAACATAGCAGAGATCAGACTAGAGTAAAAAATTAGACTCATACTTATATAACCCACTGGTTTCAACAAGCACTTCAAAGGGAAAAGAGAAGCCTCTTTAAGAAATGTTGGGAAAACTTCCTTTCCATACGGAAAAAAAAAAGAACTGATCTCTATTATATGCCAAACACAGAAATGAATTTGAGATAGATCACACCCTTCACGTAAAAGCTAAAATTATAAAACTTCTAAAAGAAAGATAGGTGATGTAGGAGTCTGCCTCTAATCTGTCATCCCTTACAGTTGTTGTACCTGCCGTGGGACAGACACTGCAACTGTGTCCCCACCAGCTGTAGCCTCTCTGTCAGTGACAAGTCCCCACATCCGGGAGCTACACAGACATGTAGACACTGCCCTGGGGGTAGTTCCTGCACAGGAGCCAAAGCTGAGCTGAGACAAGACCTCACTTTTCTCCAGGGAGACCATTCAGGAGACCAGAAAAATGGCCTCGGGGCTAAGAGCCAGGAGAGAATCGGCCTTTGTGTCATTCCATGATGTAGCTGTGGACTTCACCTGGGAAGAGTGGCGGCTGCTGAGCCATGCTCAGAGGATGCTGTACAGGTGTGTGATGCTGGAAAACTACAACAACTTGGTCTCCCTGGGAACTCCATTTCCCAAGCCAACACTTGTCGTTCTGCTAGAGCAGGGGGAAGAACCCTGGAAGGAGGAGAGTGAACATCTGCCCAGCCCCTGTTCAGCAGATGCAAAGCCAGAAATCCAACTTGATTCCTCCTCCGCTCTGGACTTCTGCAGTCGGCCAGTATGCCAACACGTGCTACATGATCATTGCCTTCTGATCTGCCCGGGCTTGCTAGCAGGCACTCTCTGCCCAGCCTATCCGAAGCAGAAGCAGCAACCACTTCCTCACGAAAGCTTCCGCAATGACAAAGTGGAAGGTGAAGACAGAGAAAAGGGCTCCAAGTCATTGTTTGAGAGGACAAGGGGCGGGTTTGCCTCCAGAGCTTTCTGCAGCCCACCTGGCAGACAGCTAATAAGCTTGAGGGAAGGCAAGACAGTGGTGGAAATAAAGCTCAGCTCAGCTGAGAAGGCAAGCCGTTTAGAAACAGACAAAGTATTAAAGTGGGTTGATTTCTCAGGATTTGAAGTAGTGAACTGTGGAAATTGCGGGTTAGGCTTTAGCCAGAAATCAGCACTCTTTGTTCATCAGAGGACCCACTCAGGAGGAAAGCCTTATTTTTGCAGTGAGTGCGGTAGAAGCTTCAGCTATAAATCAGCTCTCATCACACACGAGAGATCACATACGGGGGAGAAGCCTTACCTCTGCACGGAGTGTGGGCAAGCCTTTAGCCAGAAGTCAAACCTAGTCACCCACAAGATGGCACACTCTGGGGAGAGGCCTTTCGCATGTGAGGAGTGTGGACGAAGCTTTAGCCAGAAGTCGACCCTCATCAGACACCTGAGGACACACTCGGGGGAGAAGCCCTTTGTGTGCCAGGAGTGTGGGCGGGGCTTTCGGGATAAGTCAAACCTTATCACACACCGAAGGACCCACTCATGGGAAAAGCCTTATGTGTGCAGAGATTGTGGGAGGCTTTTTAGAGACAGATCAACTCTCAGCAAACATCAGAGGATTCATTCAGGGGAGAATCCTCATTTGTGCACTGAATGTGGCCGGAGCTTTAGTCAGAAATCGTACCTCATAAAACACAAGAGGACACACTCAGGAGAGAAGCCTTTTGTGTGTTGGGAGTGTGGACGGGGCTTTAGTGATAAGTCAAATCTTACCACACACCAGAGGACACACTCAGGAGAGAACCCCTATATGTGTGCAGAGTGTGGTCGAGGCTTTAGTGTTAAGTCAGCTCTCATGACACACCAGAGGACACACTCAGGAGAGAAGCCTTACGTGTGCCAAGAATGTGGGCGAGGCTTTAGACATAAGTCAACTCTTGTTGCACATCAGAGGACGCACTCAGGAGAGAAGCCTTTTGTGTGCGGGGAATGTGGGCGAGGCTTTAGACAGAAATCACACCTCATCAGTCATCAGAGGACACACTCCGGGGAGAAGGCTTATGTCTGCACTGAGTGTGGGCAAGCCTTTAGCCAGAAAGCAAATCTAGTCAGGCACAAGATGGCCCACTCAAGGGAGAAGCCCTTTGTGTGCAGGGAGTGTGGGAGAGGCTTCAGCCAGAAGTCAGCTCTCATAAGACACCAGAGGACACATTCTGGGGAGAAGCCTTTTGTATGCAGGGAGTGTGAACGGGGCTTTAGTGATAAGGCAACTCTCAGCACACATCAGAGAACACACTCAAGGGAAAAACCTTATATCTGTAGTAAGTGTGGGGAAGGCTTTAGGCTGAAATCACTCCTTATTAGACACCAGAGGACACATCTGTTATAAAGAAGCTTCATGCACAAGGAGTGTAAGCAAGGCTTTAGTAATAAATCAGATCATACCTCATCATGCAAGAAGAGAGAACTTTAGGGGAAATCTCATGTGTGCAAAGGGTGGGACTTCAGAGATACTAACTTTCATCAGACGACAGGAGAAGACCTACCTGTGTAAAACAATGGTCTTCAATTAGAAGCAATTTTATCCCCTGCCTAGGTGACAGTTGGTGAAACCTAGAGACATTTTCTTATCGTCACAACTGGGAGGATGCCACCGGCGTATAGTGGACAGAGGCCAAGGATGCTGCTAAACATGCTATGATGCACAGGACTGCCTCCCACAACGAAAGTCTCTCACCCTGTAAGACTTGGATCCCTTTAAGGCTAGCTTGGCTCCCAGATCCCTGCCATTGGCTCAAAAGAAAATTTCTTACACTCTCCTGTAGCTGAGTCTCCTGCCCAGACCTCCATCCTCCTCCCTCTCCTTCAATCCAGATCTAATGCCTCCCCCTGCCTTCTTTAACTCTTTCCATTTATTTTCTCAAATATGGTTTTCCCAATAGCCTCTTGCACATCTAGTCCCATCCTCTTTTTCAGAAGACTCCAACTCACACAATCACAAGGAGAGAATGGTAACTCTACAGCGAAGCAACTTGGCCCACACCGCCATAACAAAGTTAACCACTAACATTGAGACAGATTGTCGTCATAAGCCTCCTAATAGGATTCACTGAAAAAGATACCATATCATTTTTAAAATATATTTCTGCCAAAAAAGCCATTACTTAAGTCTTGTCATGAGAAGTCATTAAATAAACTTAAGTAATATTTTACAAAACAACTGTCCTGTACTTTTTAAAAATATCAAAGCCAGGAAAAACACAAAAAGGCTGACAAACTTGCAGATTATAGGAGACTATGGAGACATGGCCATACAACGCTTGATACAGGATTGGATTGTGGACTTTAAAAAGTATAGTCACGAAAGACTATGGACTGGACGATACTGCTTAATCGATGTTAAATCAATGATAAATGCAGCATACTGTGGTCATCTTTGCTTTGAAAATATACAAGTCAGTGTTTAGGGTTAAAAAGATACAATGACTCCAACTTATTCACAAATTGTTCAGGAAAAAAGTGGTCTGAAAATGTTCATAGAAAACAAAATGAATACATAAAATACAAACACATTTTCCAGGAGCTGGGGAGAGAAAGACAGACAGACAGACAGACGGAGGGAGAAAGAGGACACAAGTGGAACAAGTCTGAACCATTGGTAAATCCAGTTAAAAGGTAAAAGCAGTGCCTTATATTATTCTTGCAACTTTCCTCTTTTTGATATTGTATCAAAGTAAAAACATAAGCAAAAAAGGAAAAAAGGAAGGGAGGGAGGGAGGGAGGGAGGGAGGGAGGGAGGAAGGAAGGAAGGAAGGAAGGAAGGAAGGAAGGAAGGAAGGAAGGAAGGAAGGAAGGAAGGAAGGAAAGAAAGGTAGGTAGGCTGGGAGGAATGGAGGAAGAAAAGAAAAGAAAGAAAAGAAGGAAACTCCTGGGATGGTGGGTTGGTTGGTGGTTGGAATAATCACTGTTAGAATTGCACTGTGACCCAGCCCAGAATAACTAAACTCCTGAAGAAATTAGAAAGATTAGCCCATATCCTAACTGCCAGATAAAGGAAAGACCTTGCATTCTATGTGAAGTATCCATACATTAGTCTCCAGAATTTTTTTTTAAATACACAGTGTTCTGAATATAATTAAAAATGACCAGATATGAAATAAAATAGAAATATGTAACCTTACTCAAAGGAAAATGATAGAAGCAGACCAACAGGTCACCTAGTTATTGGAAATTGCAGCCATGGCTTTAAATCAATTATTATAACTACTTTAAAGAGTTTAGAAGAAAATTGGCAGGATATTTCAAAAGGAAAAGCAAAACTAAAAAAAGAACCAAATACAAATACTAATATTGAAATATCTGAATTTTTTTCCATGCCTGCCAATGCAGTAAAATTAACTGCCATTTTCCTTCCATTTCTTTCTGAAATAACTTTCATGAAGATTCAAACGAGTGATTTAAATAAACCCAGAAATAACATTAGAAGGGATCCTTTGCTTTGAAAGTTATTCATTTACTCATTCTTTAGAACTAGGAAAATCAGTTAATAAACCCTGATCTGGTCAACCATATTATGAAGAGGCACTACATTTAAAAGTTATTTTTCATATTTTGGACTCTAAAAATTATACTACTCTTCTCAACTCTGTCATTTGCTTCGGAAGCAGATATGCTTCTGTGATCCTTATTTAGAATTGTTTTTATTTCCAAATTTTAAACAGGATATTTGCTTTCTCTTAAGGCATCTGCCCAAGTAGTTTCTTTTTCATAAATAAATGTTTGAAAACTTATATCCTCTTCTAGATGAGCAAGACTCTTCGGTGTCTTTCTCTGTCCCTCTCTCACTGTCGCCCTTTCTCTTACTGTTTCTGTGTCTATTGCATTTAGAACAACCCTGTCCCCTAAGTCAGTAAATATAACTTCTCAGTTTTTATAACTCGATTTCAAAGGAGCAAACCCATTAAAAGTCATACATTTTCTTGGGTGGGTTATTTTCATTAATCAATATTCCCATATTAAATGTTGTATAATAACAATGGACTGGCCGGATGCAATCCACTTAGTGTTGGGATTAAAATGGGTGAAATTTCCAGGGAATGATGAGTGTTTATTATGGAAAATGACCCTGCAATGAATATAATATGATGAAGATGTTTCAGGCAATGATGATTTGTGTTCTTTTTCTCGTATTCTTTGACATCAGAGAATGAAATGAATCGATTTCGGTTCACTGTGTTAACAACACTAACATTTGGGTTATAATTTATCTGTTTTCCCCTTTTGGCAGACAGTATGAGCTTATGTTAGATGAGTTTATTATTTCTTTTATATCTCAAATAAACCTTTTTGAAACTGAAGGGGTATTACTTGTCATTTCACACACACACACACACACACACATCTTCCAACCACAAAACCTATGATTTTGTACAAGATTGTTATTAAGAATACTTCCTTTGGAAAAGTTTGGGACAAAATGAACAGCAAATGCATAAGGATTTATTCCTATAAGTTTTATATTATAATTCAATTTGTGTAATCTTGGACCTTTCTGCTTAAACTCAAATACATATTGCTTTATGAGTCTAACATGTGGAATTAAAAACAAAATGTGAAAAAGAGCCATGGGTGGTGTTACTCTGGAACTGTGACATGAGAAGTGGTTAGTAAGTTTGTCCACAATATCTCCCTGTCAGACATTTCTCTCTGGAGTGTCCTCCAGCAAGAGCAGAAGGAATCTAGATAGAGAAGTTTCTTTCTAGATATTTGGTCCTCAGAGGAACATTTCTATGCATTCCCCATCTGTTAAATCTGGGTTGGGGGACAAGATCCTCTGTCAACTTCGAAGTGCTAGCTGTGATGTACAATAGTAGGAAGGCCACAGGAAAATAGAATGATTAAAGCAAGAGACTGATGCCGATAGATTTGGATATTGATGGATTCAATTACCTCCTACTTCCCTCACCTTCTTACACCCAGGGAGCTAAATCACAATTGCTGTTTCTATGCTGTAATCTTGGCAAATATAGACAAATTGTCATAGTAGTGAAGATCAACCTGCAAAATGCAGTGGGAAGAGTCATAGGGATCACCTGTGTTCACACTCTGGCTCTACCCTTGAATTTGCCCCATGAACTTGAAAAATATTGGGTACCTCTAAAAGCTTCATTTTCTCATCTGCACCATTATTAATATTAAATGACAATATGTAAACTAGGATTGTGGTAAGTAATCCTTTAAAAAATACCCTTTTACTTCTGCTGTGCCCTATTTAACCGGAATTAATAAGAAACCGAGTAGGTCCATGGCAGTTGCAGCTTCAGATCGTTTTATGACCTTGATCAAGTCATGGAACTTCTCAGAATTTCTTTTGACCATCTGCAAAACCAGGATAATCAGAGTTGACACCTGTTTACCATGCTGTGAAGATGAATGTAGTAACATCCACAAAGCAGGCTGCACTTTAGGGAAAGCCAAATGCCACTTGCAATAAAAATAACAGCAATAATAACATTAAGAAATATTTATTTCCCAGATACTCTCTGAAGAGATTTGGGCATCTTTTGTCCAGGACATACTGGCCTCTAATTAAAACAAATACTTGCCACTTTTCATTAAAGTCCATTTTAGCAAGTTGTTACTGTCCTATAATATACCTATTGAGTGCCTTGCAGATTAACAGAAAACGCCTGTTTTACAAATAAATGCATTCAAAGCCTTCCAAGTTCTCACTGTACCATGCAGGCAGCCAGTGGAAAACCTCACCAGGTCACATTCTGTGCACAGTTACTAGTCAGCCAGCAGAATTTTTCCCAAAAATTTTATGTGCCTTGCCCTGAGCAAATATTAAGCTTTTTAATTGGGAGATTTTACCAGGATTTTTGATTACATGTTGCCTGACAGCAATGTGTGCCAAATGTATATGGTACCATTAATCTCTGTGTATTACATTTAAACAGATCTAGTATTGTCTTGGCTTTTAGTAATATCTGTGGGACCTTGCTATATTTAATTTGAGGTTTTGATTTTTCACCATACCTCTAGGAAAAGCACTGTCAGCATTAGACTGTTTTTTAATGCAGCTGTGTATTTAAGAGATGAACAAATAATGTGTTCAAAAGCTTGACATCTGCTTATTAAGGAAGCCAGCATGTTTTATGATATGTCTTTAGTTTTTGAAATTCCTCAGCTACCATTGTCTAGCTATGGTTTTCAACATATGGCTTATAAAATTATATCTTTAAGTCTTTCTTCTAGACAGACTTGATGCCTGAACATGTTCTACTGAATGCTAAATGATTCAATGAGGCGTATTTAAAGCACAGTCCATATATTCAGGGCTAGTATGCTGGAGAAAAACTTTATCTGAGTGTCATTGTCTGGACTGAAAGAGAAATGATAGTATAAATGACCTTCTAAATATGTTGGTGGTCAAGTCATTACCTAGCATGTAAAGAAGGAAAATATTTTTTTAAAAAGTCAGAGCCAAATAATACTAGGAGTAGAGAAAGAGAGAGAGAGAAACAGTCTTTCAGGAGAATTCTTTGTGCTTTTCAGAACAGAATCCATTGAAGATATACATCAGTGATGCACAAAATTCAAGCAATGGCTGTTCTTTGGTTTTCTGCTGACTCAAATGGACTTTTAGCCTTTTCTCCGTAAGATTTGAATGTTACTTTAAAATAGACTGATTTACCAGAGTCTGTTTTTCTTGCTGAAGAAAATTAAAAGGATAAGAGAATAAAAGGAATCCTGTTTATGAGGCTGAGCACGTTCAGAATTGTAAAGGCTCCCTCACACTCAGTAACCCTCAGGGGGCGAGTGTGATGGTCTCCCAGTAGGACTGTCAGCTTCTCCCATGCTCCCCATCCGTCCTCCACAGAATCCTTAGGCGGATCTTCCTGAAGCCTGCTGACTCCCGATTGTTTTACAAATAAATGCATTCAAAAAAAAAAAAAACCACAAAAAACAAAAAACAAATAAATGCATTCAAAGCCTTCCAAGTTCTCATCCCTAGTTGAGTTTATGACCTCTTCCCACTGCTCCCTTATACTTACTAGACTTTGTGCCTAAACGACCTACAGATTGAATCATGTCCACGCTTTCCGACTTCGATCTTTTTTCTCACATTTCCCATGCCTTGGACACAGTTTTTACTTTTCTGTATTCACATGTAACGTGTATTATTTCTTCAACTACTACTCTATTTCTGCCCCTTAAGCCGTAACTAGTTTTACTCCCTTCAAAACTTCCCTAGCAGTATATCTGGATCTTTCGTGGAGTGCTTCATCATATCCTCTACTACACATTAAACCACTTATGTAGATGCCTCATGTCCTCCACTAGGTCTGATATTTTGATCCATATATGATATAATCTGAGCTCAGGGTTTAATTTGTGATTATGTCAGCACTGTGCATTGACCTCTGAGCTTGCATTGCATTTAGTGAAAATTATATAGTTCATTGAATAGATACAAAAGGGAATTTTTTATCCTAGTTTCATCATTTCTTCTTTCATTGGTACAATTTTATATTTTGCTCATGTTCTTCTTCATTTGTTTTGTTGAGAATGACAAAGTTGCTTTAGTGCACAGGAAGAGAAGATAAAATAAAATGCCCTAAAGAAAGTCCAGAAGTCCAGAAAAGCAAGCTTTAAAACCACCAGGATCCAGGTATTAGGGGACAGGGACCCAAATGGAAATTTCACAGCAGGAAAAATCCAGTTAAGATACTCCTGTCGGAAGAAATA